CACAGGGTAGCAGGAAGCTCTCCGCACACTCACCAGACCTGGGCTAGGACTGGGTCTGGGGGCTCCCGGAAGTCGGCAGAAATTCCTACTCGGCGGGCGGGGTGGGGGAGGCACTGCGGAGTGGTGGGGTGCGGCCCAAGGGGCTGGGAGAGGGTCCAGCCCACTCTGCACCTGGGCTGGGACTGGTCCCGCCGGCGCAGGGTAGCAGGAAGCTCTCCGCACACTCACCGGACCTGGGCTAGGACTGGGTCTAGTATTAACTTTATTATTGATCCTCATCTTATCTTTTCCAGTCTCTTCTTATGCTATTAGAATACTTAAATCTATTTAAATCCTGTTGTGCAAAAGTAATACTGATATAAACATACCTTTTTTAACCCAAAGAATATTTTAAGTTTAAATATATGCCAGCAATTAAAATCTGAAAACATTTAAGCAAAAACTCAGATTTCTGGATTCTATTTAAAAATTGAAGGTCATCCAATACTAGCCTTGCTTCTATAGTTTCTTCCTTTAGGAAGCAAATGGGGCAAATGTTACTCCTCCACAAGCGACCTATTTCCAATTACATTCCTACTTTGAATTGGTGAATTCATAGGTTATTTGGCCATTTTCATTATCAACATAAGTCCATGTCTACCTCACTTAATTTTTCTTGCCTTATTCCTCTTTATATTGGATTTATGACCTCCTTTTTAAAGGGTATGGTGAACTACAAATCTTTCCACAGTGTATGGCTATAACTCATAAAGTTGAGGCGGCTCTCTTTATATATGTAACAAACATTTTAAAAGAAAATAAAAATGTACAAAATGTTTGAAATACTGAATTTATCTTCCTTTATTTTATTTCTGCAGATAATAATATCTCATTATAGAAATGTTTTGGGTATTCCACTGGATGATCGAAAGACTACCAACAACTATGTTATCAACACTACAGATGCACTGCCCACACTCCCACACCCAGGGAACCCAACACCAGACCCTTGGCCTGAGGAAGAAACTACAACATCTACTGGCCTAGTCACCATGCTCTGGTCCTTGTCTGTGTCCACTTTTGCAGTGGGTGGGATGATTGCATCGTTCTTTGGTGGGTGGCTTGGAGACAAGCTTGGAAGGTAAGTATATTTCATAAATAACCACAATCACAGAGACTTTAGTATTTGGTGGTATTAGAATTTGTTTAGAAAGTAATTATTTTCTTTTGTGTAACAGCTTGAGTTGTTTTTCATCTGGCAGGTCAACACTAGACTAAACCAATGGAAAATGCTGTTGTGATAATCTGGTTAATTGTGGAAGCATCTACAGAAAAGTGAATTTGGTGTGTTTCTAGACAATCACTGTGATTCTCTGGATTTGTAAATCAAAAAACATATTAAGAAACCACAGCACAAATAGTTACCTCTGGGGCTCAGCAGAAGAAGCTAGATTGGAATTTTTAACCTGGAAATCTACCATTTGCTTTTCAAATCACACCATTTCTCAGACATCCATTTTTTAATTTTTAAATGAGAATTTGGCATTTCCACTAGTCAAATCTGAAGGGCAAGTCAGGATAGCCAAGTCCCAGTAGCCCCAGGTTCTTGAAATGGTATTTCTATCTACTAATACTACTGCTATCTCAAAGTCCCAGCCCAAGGTAAAACAAGATGAAACTTTTCTAAACTCTAGCTCTTCTTTTAAAAGTTCTAAATTAAAAACAATATATCAGTGCTCCTCTCCTATGTACCCAGTTATATTACATACTTAAGCTGGAGAATTTCCTGACCTATATAGGGAAGAAGTCAGAAAATGAAATGATGACTTCTTTTATTTTATTTCCTATTTCTGAGCCAAGCTTTCAGGTATTAATCTTTATCTCCATGATAACAATAATATATTCCAACTACAGAAAATTACAAAATCATTTAAAGATATAAGTAACAAAAAAGTAACTGACAATAAATCTGGACTAAAATTAATTTAGTTTTCCCAACTCCTACTGTAAATTATACATTTTTAATGGCAAGATTTTTTTATTTTTTTATTTTTTTATTTTTTATTTTTTTTGGCAGAACCAGGGATTGAACTCAGGCCCTTGTGCTTGCCAGGGAAGCGCTTATTCTACTGAGCCATCTCCCTGGCCCCAGATTTTTTTAAAGAATGCAAAATAGTAAAAAAAAATTTTTTTAAAAAGCATTAGAAACAATACAAAATTTCACTAAACAAAGTAATAGGAATTCAACAACGGTTGCTGTATTGAATGATGTTATCTCTAAATTAGTTGTTTAGGTTACTAGGTATAAACATGCAAAATTAGTTAAAAGATATATTTACGTATATAAGCAAGATAATTTGGATAATTATACTTCGGGTTTCCACTGCCCTTTTGAAAGGAGAAGTTAGTGCTTAAGCTTTTTTCTTTTTATTATTTTTTTCTTTTTAACATCTTAGTCTTGTTGCTTTGTTTTATTTTTGTTACCAATTTTGTATTTCTAAATTATACTTTTTAACTGTATAGTTATTTTGATTCTGATAATTTCTTCCTTGTACTGGAACTTTATACAATAAGACTATAATGAATTCCTGTAACAAAAAGTATCATGGCAATCTAAGTTTTATTCCTACTTGAAAAGGAGTTTCCTTATTGATAAAAGAGAAAGGATGGGTTTTTACATTTTTGCCAACTCAATGGTGTTTAAATTTAAATAAACACGTAAGTAATAAAATGAACCAATCTTCATCATTTAAAAGATGTAATAGTCATTTCAAGTTGCACCAAATTTGTACAAATGGAGAGTATTCTAGGTTATTTCTAAAATAAATCAGCAAGATTACATTTTAAAGTCTGAGCAAATCACTTTTTTAGATAAGGAACAAACCCTTGTCCCTCATCTAGAGATGAGATTCTGACTGGTCCAGTGACTACCTGAAACACTAAGTGTCCCAGCAATGAAGCCAGGATGCATGTACTCTGCAGTCTCAAGGTATAGCATCAGCAATGGTCTTATCCAAAACAATGTCGGGTAACCTTTTCATAAATGGTCTGTTAAGTAAACACAGTTTCTTTCAGTTCTCAACTGAAAGTGATCTTCCTTGAAAAAGTCATAAAATAAATAAAAAGCAAGACCAAAAAGTTCAGTCTCCCATAAAACTATTTTTCTAGAGAAAGTCGTTGAAAAATGACTTGATTATCTTAATTGCTAGGATCGTATCTCCACTAGTTAAAACTAACTAAATAAAAATGTATTCCTTCTATAATTCCTTAAAAAATCTGTCTTTACAATTATGTATGTCAACAGAAGTCTATGACCATGATTTTTTAGATTTGGATTTGCAAATTCAGATTTCTTCAAGGATATCCACTTAAATTTACTTACAAAATTACAAGGAAGAAAATCAGTTTGCACAACATACTACCATGAGTCAAAGAAGGCTGATACAGCAATTTAACTGATAGGGCTCAGGGTACAGTTTAGCAGTGAAGTGCTTGTCTAACATGTGAAAAGCCTAGAGTTCAATCCCCAGTACTACAAAAACAGAGGAAGAAAGAGGACTTATTAAAATGGAGTACTAATAGGCTTTGGCTCCCCAGGCCCCAGGAGACATTATGCAGCCTAACATCTGTTGGTCACTTAATAGCTGTCTAAAAATGAACATGTTACTTGGGCTCTCTAAGACACCTACACTGTCAAAAATATAATACCTACTTCACCACATTATTGTGAAAAATAAGACAAAATAGAAGGATTTTTGTACCATGCCTGCTACACTGTAAGAGAGCAGCATATGTAGCCCTGTTCTGATGATAGTGACAATAATTATGAAGCCTATGCTAAGAGGGATAAATGACAATTTAAAGAAATATACTTAGAATTAAGTTTCTTGTTTGGTGGTCCAACCATTTCATATATTTTTTTAGACTAATTTTCAGCCATTTCTCACATCTGAGCAAAAGTTTGAATACTTTAAGTCATATAGTGTTCCAATAACTACTGTCTGGAAATGAGAAAGAGAGATAATTAATTAGACACCAAAAATCCTTCCAGGATTTGTCTTTTCCCCTCCTATCAGACTTCACCAGCTGATAATAACTTCTTAATGTAAATTAGTAATGCATGCTGTCTTTGCAAAGAGAAAAGGCATTTCAGGGTGGTCTGCAGAGAAACACCCATCAACTGTCTCTGAAGACTACACCCCAGGGGACTAGCTAGCTCTTAGCCATTATTCTATATTTAAATAATTAATAATTTCCTTACATTTGTTTCCTATGGCTGCTGTGACCGATCGATTACCACCAACTTGGTGACTTAACACGACACAAATCAATTTCCTTACTTTTAAGTCCAAAACCAGTTTCATTTAGCTAAAGTCAAGACCTTAGCAGGGGCCTGGAGAGACAGCTCAGAGGCCTAAGTGCCTTCCTACCAAGCACAAGAACCTGAATTCCATCCCCATTATGGTGTTCCCTGTCAGTCATGGAACTGGGCATGGTGGTGCACGCCTCTAATCCCAGCACTGGGGAGGCTGAGACAGAATTAGTCAAATAAATAAATATCTCAGCAGGGTTGGTTTCTTTAGGTAGTTCTGGGGGAAAAACCATTTCCTTTCTCTTTTCCAGTTTGTTCTGGCTTCCTAGGAGTAGTTTGTTTCCCCTTCCTCTCTTTGAAGAACATCACTCCAGTCTCCATGTAGCATCATGTTGCCTTCTCCTTTGATGCTGTCCTCTTGGAAAGACATCATTAATACATCATCGGTTGCACTTGGATAACCCAAACATTCTTTCCATCACAAAGTCCTTAACTTAATCATATCTGTAAAATCCCTTTTGCAATATAAGATTCAGACTCTAGAACTGAACTCAGGAGATGTCACTCAGTCTATCACGTGGCTACTAAGAAATCATTGCAGTATAAAATTATTTAGTTTTACAAATAGTTTGGTGTTAAAGATACTTGCTTAGAAAATGCCAACCTGTTAGATTTTGAAACACTGGAATAGCAATTTCCTTGTGGCACATTTTCACATCTGTCCACTCAGATTCTTTTACTGGCCTTATTATTTACTTAACCTTGAAGGTTTTCAAGTAATTTTAATATGATCAGTTTTGAAAATGATGGTTTGTTGCTATTGTTTTATAATGTGTTTTGCATTTGTTGATATTATAGATTCTGGAAATATGGCTTATATACCTTGCTAAAATAAGGTAACTATAATTATGATAAACTTTTTTTTAAAAGTATGCTTTAATTTACTTCTCAAAATGCATACCAAAAAATTTGACTTTAAAAGCTTCCCTCCTATTCCCTCCTATAACAGCTGTTATTATTCCAAAAAAACATTAAAGAAAAAAGCAAAATAGATGTTATAACCAAGAACTGAATTAATATATCATCTGATAATTATTCCTTAAACCAGTGAGAATTTGTGGAAAACTTGAAAACTTAGTTACTATTTGAAAAGTTGTTAAAAGTGGTACCTTATATCAAACTGGTCATCTATCACAGTGTAGAGACCAGGGGTGTGAAACCCAGATTTTCTCATCATAAATATTACTTTCTGTTAATAATTTAGTATATGGAGAGAAAATGACAATTTTAGTTCAAAATCCTAAACTAGCTTTTACAGCAAAATTTAACTAATTATATTCAGGAAAAAAAATCTCAATATACTCCAAAAGCAAATGTTTTTATCAAGTTTTGATTCCAAAGTCTTTTTTTTTTTTTATTTCAGAATCAAAGCCTTGTTGGCAGCAAACAGTCTCTCATTAGCCGGAGCTCTCTTGATGGGGTGTTCCAAATTGGGACCCTCTCACATTCTCATAATTGCAGGAAGAAGCATATCAGGACTCTACTGTGGTAAGCCTCTCTCTCTCTCTCTCTCTCTCTCTCTCTCTCTCTCACACACACACACACACACACACACACACACACAGGAGATACCTTTGAAAAGTACTCTGTGGTAACATACATGGTTATTTTTGAGCCTAGGATGGGATCACAGAGAGAAAGCTAATAGAGTCTGTGAAGTTCTGGGTCAGGATTTGAGAATAGCAAGTAGGAACTGTGATCCAATCTATGTTCCTCTCCACTGTAATAGTTTCTAGTTGTCATATTTCAGGCAAATTGTTTAACTCTGGCTCTCAGGCTTGTTACATATGAAATGAAGATAATAATTTCTACCTGATGATTATAAGAAGACATGTAAAGTGTTCAAGATAGAATCAGACACACAGTAAACTGCCGATAAATGCTAGTAGTTGGTATTACACCTGTGATGTAATGCATATTGAAAGACAACAACGTTCAGACCCCCAACTTTGCCTACCTGTGTGTGTCCTTCTCCCTCATATGCAGCAAGACTGCACCCCTGAACCAATCTCTTTTAGACCATACTTTCTAGCCCTATTAGATTATAAACTTGGTTGCAGGATGCATTAAAGTGGTGGTGTCCTAATGCAGAGGGAATCAGGCAGAAGCAGCTAGTGGAAGAGTTCAGAACTGAGGATGCACCCCTGTGAACTTTATGTGTGAATAGTGGGAATCACTACTTTGGAAGACAGCTAGCTTTTCACAATTTCAAGGCAACTAATTAGCAGAGCTCCAAACAAAGACAAAACATGCACTGTGTAAGACAAATGGACAAATATTTAACTTCTTGTGCCAGTGAATCCTTCGTTCTGAGCTGTTTTAAGCCATTTTCACATATTGTAGCTACCCTTCCAAGCACTAACATTCACTAGAATAGAGAAGGAATGATAAGGTACAAAATTTGTGTGTATAAAGTATTTCTAACATAAATTGCACAAAGGACTATAATTCCACTCGTCTTCAATTACCATATAAGCAAAAATCTAAGATATGCATGTTAATAGCTTAATTAAAGAGACATTAATTAAATGTCTCTTTTCATTGTTGTCAATGTTAATACAAGTAACTTAAGGTCATAATGGCTCTACTAAGAGTCAGCCCACAAGTTTAAAAAATGTATATTCAGAGTAAATAAGTTCTAGCACTATCTCTGCTGTCCTCAGGCAATATTAATTAAGTCTGGGCCTCAGTTTCTTTTTCTTTAAAAGCAGATAATACAAGACAAAAAAAAAGCAGATAATACTGTTTAAATGATCTAAGTCATCATTTTTCTTTTTTAAAAAAAATACAGCATAAATTCCATTTCTTAGAAAACTGAGAACAAATTCCATAAACACACTGTAAAGTAACCTATAAGCACACTAAAGTATTGCATGTCTTTTAAAATTATGTGTGGCCTAATTCTTAGTATTAAATTTGCTAAAACTATAGGAAATATAATTTTACTTTACACTTACATGACTTTAGACATGTGAATTTATTTATATCATTGTGATTGTGAAGTATAGTATTAGGTATTGTAAGAAGTAATACAACCTCAAAAGGACCAAAGAAATGGGCTTCTATTATTTAAGCTCAACAATCCACATGGCAGACACATATAAAATTCTGCAGATGTACAGAAGCCATATAAAATATATAAATATTTATATTATATATATTTTATATATAATATATAATACACACACACACACAACAGAGGAAGGAAGGAGAAATATTTGCCAAAAGCATCATTTACATAAAAATCAACCACTTACATTTGATAGGTAACCATAATATAACACAAAATCTGAAAAATCACTTTAAAAACTGGATACACCACCATTTCCAAAATGACTCATTGTATATGTAGTTAAGAAAGCTATAAAAGGCAGAATGGTGTATTACTTTCCAATTTTTCATATTTGTTTAAGCCTCAAAGATCTTTCTTCAAATAAAATCTTTTCTGAAGCCCCTAACATTCTAACTAAGTAGAGAAACAAGGTTGCTCTGATTTGAGTATCTGGGGAAAGAGTCCTCAAGTTCCTTAATCTTGTCCACCTTCTTATATCCCCATGACCACCCAACGGTGTTCTTGAAACACATCAACATTGTGGAGATTTGGTTAAGGCTCTTAGTTCTCATAATAATACTCTGTTGTACTGTAATCTTGGACAAGCCACTTCTTACCTCTATCAAGAGGTTAGCCTTTATTTAAGTTGTAATTTCTTGTCAGTCTCTTTTTTTCAAGATAATATGAACTATCATGTTATAAACTAAATATTGGCATACATTTCTTAAACTAAAACATCATGAAAAATGCCAAATATATGAGTAAGCATTTCTTTTCATTAATATTTAGAGTTGCATCAATAATTTTTTTTTTTTTTTTTGCTTAAACTGTTTATGGCTGGGGACAAGGGATCTTTCTTTCAAGGGACTCAGGATGGGATTTTCACAATAATGGATTGCATTTAGACTGAATTATTATTATTAAAATATTTCTGGATGTACTTTAACACTTATATTCATGTTTTATGCAGGACTAATTTCAGGGTTGGTCCCAATGTATATTGGAGAAATTGCTCCAACCTCACTCAGGGGTGCGCTTGGCACCCTTCACCAGCTGGCCATTGTCACAGGCATTCTTATTAGTCAGGTAAAAGATGTATCCCCTACTGTACCCATCTTTTACTTCTACTCTCTCCCTCTCTGACTGAGTGCTTGTACTGTAGACACACAAAGGAAAGAAAATTCCAATAGTGTGGTAGTGGAGGTAGCAAGAGACATAGGCTCTGGGGTTCAAAAGTTAGTTACCATTCCTTACTTTTCTACTAGAAGTTGTAGGCAGGATTGGTACTGTGGGTGAAATTTCCAATGCTACACCAGAATTGAATTATTTCATTTAGATTTCAAGAAACTGCCTGAGTTTCCTTTGTTTTGAGCATCGAACCTGGAAATCCATTAGGGAGACCACTACCATAGAAGCTTTTGTTCAGCTGACTCTATCCTTTTTTTTCTTTCTTGTGGTCTCAGAGGAAATGTATGGAAGCCCACAGGTATGATTCAGAAGGAAGTACATAGACCACAGCAACTGGGATCAGACAGCTGGTTGTGATCCAGTAATTGTTCTATGAAATCCCATCTTATTTAACCTAAAAAAAAAAAGAATTTTAAAGCAAAACCCTAAAGTTATGCATGATTTTAATTCTTTATTATTCCATCAGATGCCTGGAGATGTTGCTTCATATTAAAAATATTTTCTATAACTATATTTAAAACTGATTCCTAATCTAGGTGTCCAATTAAAGTAAAAACAAGCCCAGATGAAATATCTGTCAAAAATAATTGTCCTTAATTTGATTAAGGTGAAATACACTAGAAATAGTTTCCATCTTACATTTTTATGGACTGAGGTTGATGGAAATTACTTTTACTTTAATGGTACTAAGAGTTAAACCTAAGGTTTTCACACTGAACTACAACTCTAGCCCCCACCCATGCACGCACACACACACACACTTTTTGAGACAAGGTCTTACCAAGTTACTAAATTGCCAAGGCTGGTCTCAAACTCCTACCTCAGCCTCCCAGAGTGCTGGAATTGCAGGAGTTCAGGACCATGCCTACTTGGGATTACAATTAAATAGCCAATGTATGTTTTTCAATAAATTATTGTAGGTGGCAGACCTAAAGTGTTACACAGCTTATATGCTTCTTTCTTACCCTCCCAGATTATTGGCCTTGACTTTATCCTGGGCAATCATGACCTATGGCACATTCTGTTCGGCCTATCTGCTGTGCCAGCCCTTCTGCAGTCTCTGTTACTACTCTTCTGTCCAGAAAGCCCCAGATATCTTTATATCAAGTTGGAAGAGGAAGTCAAAGCAAAGAAAAGTAAGTCTGTAGGGGGATTTTCTTTCATCTTCTTTTTTGAAATTATCAGCTAATGCAAAATAGTGTGTATAAATTGTTGCTTATTAATTTATGTACTTTCCAAATGAAGTCCAAGATGACATGTGAGAAGAGTGTGCAAAATAGCTGTGACAGGGCTTACCATCTCACACCCATAAACCATTGATAGGATGAGTGCATACTATTTCACAGCGAAGCCAAAACCAGAAACCCACATGTAGGGTACTAGACTTAACCAGAGGCTTCCAAAAGGACTTCTAGTATTATGCATCTATGATAACAGGGATCATAGCTTTCTCTATCATGATATGACGCCAGATGTTCTACATTTTTTAAATTAAAGAGCATTACTTAATTTAACAAAAACAACAAAAAGATTTTGAATGGCCATACTCTAAGATAATATTAAGAGACATGCAGAATTCCAGTTCTTTCATAAACATAATAAATCTATTTCTATTTGACCTGGATTGTCTCCACTTGATCATTTTGGGGGACAGGCTTGAAAAGACTCAGAGGAAGTGATGATGTCACCAAAGACATGAATGAGATGAAAAAGGAAAAAGATGAAGCATCAAGTGAACAGAAGGTCTCCGTGACTCAGCTTTTCACTGATTCCAGCTACCGGCAGCCCATGATCGTGGCACTGATGCTGCACATGGCTCAGCAGTTTTCTGGGATCAATGCAGTAAGTTTTAGGACACCTTCTAATTTAGGAAAGCAGAGTAAATTAACAGAGAGGAGAGTATAAGTTTAAACAACATAGAGACACCTTCAAATATTAATACCAGATTTTACTATTACAAATATACGTTAAGTGATAATAAATTTTTCTCACCTCACTTCCATGGCTTTCTAAAATTAACTCACGATTTATATAAAAGTCAACAATCAGTAGCAATTTACTTCTTTGTTAAGATAAAAAAGACAAAAGTCATAATAAATGCAAGGAGGGAAAAAGAAAATAAGTACACCCCTTCAAAACAAAACCTAAACTGCATGAGGCTTCAAGAGTTAAGTATGAAATTTAGGATTTTAAGAGTCCACAATTCCCTTTATTTAAATGAAATGTTATATATGAGATATATAGATGCAAAAGAACAACTTGCCATAAAAAACTTTCATTATATTTGTTGAGACAGCAAAAATATTATATATATACACATATATTGAATTGAGTGAGTGTGGTAGAGAAGACATGATTGAGAATTATGCATGGTATTAAGCTAGCAGTTTTCAATTTATGAATTGAAACCATTGCATCATGAAGATTAAATGGTTTTACTAGAAGTTATCCAATAGAAGAAAAAAAAACTTACTAAGAAATAACTTACTACTTTGTTTGGTTAAATAAATAAAATCACTCTTGAATCACATTCAATAGCAGCCAGAACTCACACACACTGGTGAGGGTACAAAATCATCATAACTTCTTCGGGAAAGTGTTTGGCAGTATTTAGCAAAGCAGAGCATTCACATACACTATGGCCCAGCAATTCTATCACAAGGCAAAAAAATCACACATATTTCACCAAGAGAATTGTTGGCAGCACTATTCATAATCACCCCTAATAAGCAAACTGAATAGTCACAAGAAGTAGCATGGGTAACTAAATTATGATATTTACAACAAAATAATATACAATAATGGAAATGAACATTTTACAGCTGTATACGACAGTAAAGATTCTTATATAGTAATATTGAACATAAGCAAACCACAAAATAGTACATATTATGTGTTTCTCTTTTTGTCAAGTGTAAGACTATGCAAAATTTATCTATGGTAAAAGATTCTGAAAGAGTTATTTCCTGGGGATAATGAATAAAGGGAACACATAGGGAGTTTCTGTAGAGCAGTAAATGATTTATTTCTTGCTCTGAGTGCTCGTTACACAGGTCTGACCAGTTTCTTAAAATTAATCCAGCTGTACATTTACAATGTGTTGTTTTATATATGCTATCCTTTAGCAAAAGTTTAAAAATAAAAAGGAATTTTAAAATGGAGTAACAGAGTTTCCAGCTAAATATAAGGAGAAATTTTAAATAGACAGAAGTTTTAAACACTAAAGGAAGTCTAGATTCTCCAAGAGGCTACTATAAAATATTTAAATTCTAGAAACTATTATAGAAACATAAAAATACACAATTTTGCTTTAAAAATACCAATACAAGACTACTTGGTGATGACAAACTTGTTTTTACTTCACAGATTTTTTACTACTCAACCAGTATTTTTCAGACAGCTGGCATCAGCCAGCCTGTTTATGCAACCATTGGAGTTGGTGCCATCAACATGATTTTCACTGCTGTATCAGTAAGTCAATACCCCAAATAAACACTTTTTGTTCCATGATCCCAGGAACGGGGAAAACTTGTGACCCAATAGTGATCAATGACTTTTCCCCCCTTGTAATTTGGATGTGTAAAACTAAGTAGCTCAAGGAAGAAGTTCTCTCTGTGAATAAGTCAGCTGCATGAAGATAAGTCATAAGTGAGCAAAGGAACCCTCCCCACTGAGCCACTCACTGAGGAATTAATAATTCACTGGGAGGCACAGGGGACTTTCTCTTTGTGTAAATCCCTGGGTTCCTTCCCTTTGCTCTGTATTTAAACTCCTTAGAATTATCTGACAGCTTGCCATTTCTATCAATATTGAGTAGGTTACCAAGATTCATCTTCTTCCATGGATGAAATACATTTTTATCCTGATGTTTTGGAGAAAAAGTTATAAAAATAATAAAAATATCTTCTGTAATAAGCATATAAGACTTTAGGCAGAATTCAACGAACTCAGTAAATTCCTATAATGTTAGATTATTGGGCAAAATTTGCAGGTATTTCGCAAAGGCATTGGTTCTAGTGATGCGTAAGAATGTATACTCAAATGTATTGAGTACATGTGAAATCAAAAGCAAACAATCAACAGAATGAAGGGATTGTCGACAGAGTGAGAGAAAATTTTTGTCAACTTCTCTTCCTACAGAGAGGACTATCATGTTGAACATATAAATAACTCAAAAAAATTTAACACCAAAAACTTAAATAGCCCATTCACCCACAACAAATGTATTGAGCAAGATATTTCTAAAAAGAAGAAATGCAAATTGCCAGTAAATATTTCCAAAAAGTGTTCAACCTCTTTAGTCACAGAAATGCAAATCAAAAATACACTGCTATTCCCCCTCATGGCAGTCAGATTGTCCATCATCAAGAATATAAATCAAAAAATAAAAAATAAAAAAATAGAATATAAATTAAGGAATCAATACTGGTGAGGTGAGGTTATGGGGAGACTTTCCACACTGCTGGTGGGACTGTAAATTAGTACAGCCATTATGGAATCAGTATGGAGGTTCCTCAAAAACTCAGCATAGAGATACCATCTAATTCAGCTATAGTACTCCTCAGTATACTAAAAACAAAGTCGGCATCATATAGAGATTTACAACATATGCACACCAACTGCTGGTATGTGGAGCCAGCACATGCACATGTTTTTTGCAGTGTAATTCACAATATATAAGCTAAGGAAACACCTTAGGTGCACATCAACACATGAATGAAGAAAAATACACAGACACACAAACACACACACACACACACACACACACACACACAAATATATTATCCAGCCATAAAGAAGAATGAAATCATGTTGGAATTATGCAGGAAAAAGGATAGAATCAGAAATCATCACATTAAGTGAAATAAGCCAGAAGCAGAAAGTCAAATATCATATGTTTCTGCTTACATGAGGAGCTGAGTGGGGAAAAGAGAAGGGAGGATGACCTGAAGGTAGAAGAGAGATGATTAGAAAAGAGGAAGGAGCAGGGGCAGGGTGAGGAAAGGGGAAAACTAATGGAGAGGGGAATTGATCAAAGTATGTTATATGCATGTATAAGTGTGCCAAAATACAATCTACTACTTTGCACAATTAATATTCACTAACAAAAAAGGTAAAAAAGAGTATTGTGGTAGGACAGGACAGGGTAGAAGCACTATACTAGAAATGTATTGTTTTTCTTACAAACAAACGAGGCTATATACTCTACTTAAGCCAAAAACTTTCTAGAAGTAATAATCTAAGATATTGACAGCAGTAGTAGTAATTAATATGACCTAAAAATAAAAACTAATGTCAAAGACTAATGAACTAATATATTAATTCTGAAGTAACTGGGCTAATTTTATCTTTGAACACAAAATGCTCAAAATGCTTATTCCTTTTTCCATTTTGGACCTAAGACTATACTTTATTTTAGCTCCTTGTAATTCTTTGTCTTCATATGGACTTTTAATTATTTCCTTAGTGGGGTCAATAAATTACAGCCTGGATATCTAGACCAAAACACAGATTTGTCCAGGCTACATTAAACAGTGCTGGACCTTGGAAAGAGAAAGAACAAACAACAGAAAACCAATGTCTCTGTACACATGACTTTAGAGGTAATGCCCGGTAAGCCAAAAGGCCACTATAAATCAATGAAGAGCTTTACCAGGATACAATCCAAGGGACTCTGCAATCCAAGGGGTTTTTGTCTCTTGAAATATTTTTACAAATTTTATTTCAACACATTTTTATAACATAAAGATTGACTATCAAAATGTTTATAATAGGATTTACTATATAAAGCAACAAGTTTTCAAGAATGAGTAACCCAAAATCTGAGAAAGTCTAAAGTAGAAACTTCTGCAGAATTTCATCTTTGCACTTCACACCTAACCTCACTGGAGGGCAAACAGTTGTCTTATTTATAAGTATCAATAATTATTTTAAACATGCCATTTTAGAGCTCATCCTTTCTTCTGTTTTTGAGATGAATGACATATTAAAAATAATCAGTTCTAGGGGCCGGGGAGATAGCTCAGTTGAATAAGTGCTTCCCTGGCAAGCGCAAGGACCTGAGTTCAAGCCCTGGCTCCACAGGAAAAAAAAAAAAAAAATCAGTTCTAATCATGTCATTAACACTCAGGGCTACAGACAACATTTTTAAACTTTCTGAAAGTGTTTAAAAGTGCAAAAAAGGGACTACAATAGCCACCCAGTTTCTCTGCCACCAGTTAACCAATATTTCAAACTATGCAACCTCTCAAGTAAATATATGCAAATAGGAATCTGCACTAATAATATAGTAATGTTTCACCAACTTAAAAAGCAACATAATCTTTTTTTTTCTGAGTGAAATCTCTGGGGAAAGAGATACACTTTCCTAAATTCCCACTGCATTATGTTCCACATTAATGAGCTGGTAGAAATATAGCAGGATGATTCCTGAAGAGAAGCAGGGGCCACCAAAATCCAGCCACGTGCATGTGGTTTGGGGCAAAGATGAAGGTTGTGGTCAGGTCAAACCCTGCAGCTCCTGATCATGTTCACCCTTTGTCACATGCATTCCTGAGTGCACATCCAGCCTCCAGGTCAGAGTCCAACTCCCTTTTCAAAGCACCTACATTTAGAGTTTATTATCCAATTAAGAAATTTTTCAGAAACAAAAGAAATATAATAGTAAGAGTCATTATACCCGAGGAAACATTTTTATTCTTCTGGAAGTTTGTCATGGAATCATCAAGTCCACTGAATGCCATAATTAGTAAGATGTAAGAGAACTTTTATGAATTTGAGAAAGGCTTGGTTTTGACCCTTTATTCTTAACAATTAAATGTAAGCTCTTTGCCTGCCAACCTTTCTGAAGTGATTTGGAACTCTGATATAAATGAGATTAAGAAAAAGCTTTCACTGTAAGTAAAATGTTTTTATAATCTCTTCAGAGTCAAAGTTCACCCTACTAAGTATATTGGGTTGCTATTAATTTGATAATAGATTGATAAGGTAAGAAATTATGACAAGTGTGTGTGTGTGTCAGTATGTTATGAGACAGCCTTGGAAGTATTTAATGACTTAGATTGGCAAGAGTCTATCACATAAACACTGATTGTGGTTAACCATAAATTTTAACCATTAATGTAAAGGTTCACAGATTCAAATGAATCAATGGTATATTTTCTCGATTAGAGCAAGAAAATATTCCAACTCTGTTTTAGGCCATTTTCAAATGTACAGTTTAATATAAGTGTCACACATATTCAAGTACAGCAGAAAAACGCAGACCTATTTGGTACAATTATCAAATTCTGTACATTGCCAGGTGAGTGATCATAATTTGGCTTTATCAAATAGTGAAACCATCAAATAAGAACACTGGCACTGAAGCATTTGCCCTGTTTCAGATGCCTAAACTGTTGTAATGATAAGCATCAGAGGAAAATTAATGTCATTTTTAATGTAGATATACAGCTTCTGACTACTATACCACAGGGATAATTTGATGGTGGTGGTAACACTGTGGTTCTAGCTCTAAAATAGCTCAAATCAATGCAATCCCATTAGTACTTATTAACTGATACTACCTCTGCCACCTGGGGCAAAAGTCACTCTTCACCTCTGTCTATATCCATAAAATGGAATAACAACCCTACATCTTTCCCACCATATAAATTAAAATGACCTTGTTAGACATAAAATGATTTAAATATGAATACAATAATTTATAGCTCACAACTGACATACTGCTTTTTGTTTTTTAAATTTCCCAGGTATTGCTTGTGGAGAAGGCAGGACGGCGCTCTCTGTTTCTAATTGGAATGAGTGGGATGTTTTTCTGTGCCATCTTCATGTCCCTAGGACTTGTGTTACTGGTGAGCTTGGTCCCTAGACTGAACCTTTTGATCACTACATGACAACACCTCTGTGTTCCAAGTTAAAGGTCTTTGAGGTCAAAAACATGAGACTGACTTATGAAATAAAGCTAAAGGAAGAATATATAATACAAAGGTCAAAGGTAAAGAAAATGAGAACTAGTTTCATGGAATTAGAGACTAAATATCTGCATGTCACTTATGCTTAGTATTCTGAAAGGCAGTAAGCACAGGCTCTGAGGTCAGTCCCAACTAGGTTCTAATACTGATTCTGTCACCTGACTGTCTTTGAGACCCTGGGTAGGTACTTAGATTTTTTCCCAGCCAAGAATCCTCATCCAACACTTCAAAGCGAGTCAGACACCTTATCTAGCCACCCTGGTTTATGTAAATGCAAAGGATACTCAATGTTTGCCTCATCTTTCACAAGAAGAGAAAAACTAAAGATCAAATGAAATCTTAATACAGACAATTGTCTATAATGGAATTGAAAGGATATAAGCATGATTCAGACTAGAATAATGTGTCCCAAGAATAGAATAACTGGCACTTGACTGAACATAAAACATATTAGGATGACAGCTATGTCCATCACTGAAATCTGTGAAGATAAACATATTAGGAGACCACCTATGTCCACCTCTGAAATCCATGAGAAGCTTTTTAACTATGAGAACAGTGGTCAGAGATCCCAGCCTCATTTGTGTTCCTGTTTTGCTTTCTCTTCAGGACAAGTTTGCTTGGATGAGTTATGTGAGCATGACAGCCATCTTTCTCTTTGTCAGTTTCTTTGAAATTGGGCCAGGCCCTATCCCCTGGTTCATGGTAGCTGAGTTCTTCAGCCAAGGACCACGCCCTACAGCTCTAGCGCTAGCTGCCTTCAGCAACTGGGCTTGCAATTTCATTATAGCTTTGTGTTTCCAGTACATTGCGGTAAGTGGCCGAACACTGTGTAAATTTACTGAACAGAAGACAAATCAAACAGCTGCTAATTGTAACTCTCTGTTTGCTCTTTTTCTAGGACTTCTGTGGACCTTATGTGTTTTTCCTCTTTGCTGGGGTGGTCCTGGCCTTTACTCTGTTTACATTTTTTAAAGTTCCAGAAACTAAGGGAAAGTCTTTTGAGGAAATTGCTGCAGAATTCCGAAAGAAGAGTAGTTCAGCCCAACGGCCGAAAGCTCCCGTAGAAATGGAATTCCTTAGACCCACAGGGACTGTATAAAGATGATTTGCTTTTTTATATGAAGAAAACAGGAGAGAAATATATTTTAATGATTTTTTGAGGTTATACACACATTTCAAAGTATTATTTTATTGTTAAAGAATTTTATTGACTCTGATTAGAAATACTAACAAATGTTACCAAGGAAAGTATTTTTTTAGAGGCTCAATCTATTTTTAGTAGACTTTGTAACTAAGTAAATAAAATGACTAGCTAGCTTGTTTTGGTACTCTAAATGACAATGATGTTCTAATTTGCTATTTTAAATTACACTGTTCCCCTGAAATTCAAGAGCTTTTAATATATTATTGCTTCATTACATGAGCGACAGGAATCGTGAAGATACAACTAATATTTATATATTTAAATATGGTTAAACTGTAATTCACTGACCCATAGCTAGTGGCAGTAAGATTCATGTTAAAATCAACTTTTCTATTTCTCTTATTCACCTATCTTGTTTATTAGAATTTGTACTTTGTTTAACATTTTAGTTTTCTGCACCCTCATGCAGAATGATTTACTGAATACCATAAAATATATTTATGAAGAAAAACATTTATTTCAAGATCCGAAGTGAGCATAAATAGTCTAAGAGCTCTATGCTAGACTGAACTTTAGACAAAAATATAGAGACTTTGAGCAGGGGAGGAACAAGAAAGTGTTCCTGGGTGGCTCCAGTTCACTTTTTTAGCATGCTAATGGCCTTTGGGAAGTCCAGTGTTATGATGATAAAGGAATCTGCCCCTTTTTAGGGGAAGAACGCCATTTATATCAAATCACAATTCTTGTCTCATTTACTAAAAAAATTAATTAGTAAAGTTTTTTTTTAAAAAAAAAAGAGTCCCAAAGGCCACTTTTAAGTTTCAGTTAGTTCTTTTAACTTTCTCACAAATGCCAGATATTGAGAGCCTAAAGTTTTTTTGCTCTGTGTAATTTAATTACCTTCCATCATTTTCCTTCCACAATGTTTTCCTGGCAGAATCACCCTTTGTATCTATCAGAAACTAGTCGCAAAATAACGTACTATCCCTGCAGATACTAAAATGCTAAAATGTTGAAGTCCTTTGGAAAAAGTGGAGTAATATTTACATATAACTACATAATCCTCCTGTACACTTTGTATTATTTCTAGATTACTTATAAGACAATATAAATACACTATGTAAATACACTATGTAAATAGTTGTTACATTGTACTGTTTAAGGAATAATGACAAGAAATATATCTGTACAGGTTCAGTACAGATATAATTAAAAACTTTTCAGTCTGAAGGTGCAGTAGCCACCAACCCTAATAAGCTAAATGTGTTGAAAATATTGAGGATAAACAAGAAGGTCATAAGGCTTTATATAGGGACCAAAGATCTCATTTAACAAAACAAAAACCTCTACTTTTTAACACTATATGGAAATAAAAATAGCTTGATTTAGATTTAATCTTGGGAAACTTAGATATGAATTTGAACACTTAATTTTCCCAGTATCTTTTTTAAGAAAGTATTATTTTCAACTCTAAAAGAATTGAGACTTTTAGCTAGTTCAAAGTACAAGTAGAATTCTTGGTCTGGCCACCCACTTGCTGTATCTAGCTATTGCCCACTGCCTTTTCTTTTTATTATTTTTATTTTTTCAAGACAGGACCTGCTTACAGCTCAGGCTGGCCTTGAGCTCACTTAGTAGCCCACGTTGGTATTGAACTCATAGAGCTCCTCCTGCCTCTGCCTTCCAAGTGCTGAGATTACAGGTGTGTGCCATTACACCTGGCTTGCTAACTGTCTTCGCACCTAGGAAAGTGTCTTTTATAACCTTACCCCCTGCTTTCCTCTACATAATCACCACTGTGTTCTGAGATACCAGGAAAGTGTTATACACACACACAAACACACACACACAAACACACATACGCACACACTGCAAGGATCTTACATTGTAATGGTGAGTGCAGGAAAACAAGGGTAATTATATCCCATCTAGGTCTTGTGCCTTTCATGAACCAGATTCATGAAAATTGGCACACTGTTATCTACCTCAGAGAACTACTGTGAAGATTACTCATAGAGGGTTAAGCACAGTGCCTGATATAAAGGCAAACATTACCTAGAATTAATATTCCCAGAAATACTGTTAGGAAAAAGATTATCACATATTAAATAATTCAAAATTGTCTTTTAAATAAGAGGAATTTTTATAGCAGTTTCATGTTATGTCTAAGGCATTTGATATGCAGACAGATGATGATGTTAAGCTCAACTGCCTCTGTTACAGGATAATAATATCATTAAGCTTCTCTTCTGGATGTTAAACAAGTAAAGTTTGCAGACCAAAAATTAGAGAAATAGAGGGGCTACAAGTATAGCCAATATTTTGGTCAAGCACATCAAGGGCATTGAAGTCTCAGGACAGAAGAGAACCTGTGCTGTGACATCCTATAATTCAGTGGTGTCCAAAAATTTTCTGATCAAGGAGATTATGAGGCCACAGAGGACAGTGATCAACAATGTATAGTGTGCCTAGGGAGAGTCACCAAGAGAGAGAAATTTCTCTCCAGCTTTCACAGAGAGCAAACTGGCCAAGCAATGGCCGTGACTCATCCAGATAGCGGACACTGACAAAAGATCTACAGGTGCTCTACGTAGTTTCAGGGTAAATCCTGAGGGGTTTTGACTGACCCTGTCAGAAAAGTTGTATTTTTACTTATATAGGTCTTGCTTTAACTTGGTCTTAACCATCCAGCAGAAAAGTATAACCACAAGATATAAAAAGTAATGCCATATTAATATGCTGAGTTGTAAAAGGCTCAAGTCAACAACTTATGACAATTGCAGATAACTCATTACTATTATGGACTATTAGACTATATTGGGTTATTTTGCTGAATACAAGTCCCTACAATCTTTAGACTGGTTTCAAGTATGAAAAGGTTATTTAAAGACTTCTCCAAATACAGCTTCTCTAACTGCAGTGGAACACCCATCTCTGAAAAAGCAAAACAGAAAAGAGGGATATGTTGGGAGCCATGAAGCTGGGAAATCAATTGAATATATGTAGGTGGGACTTGACCCAGTGCCTAAAGCAGACAAGTTACCTCACTCCTGAGATGAACATCCTATCTGGTTAAGGTTCGCTATCAGTTGCTAAGCAACCTATTGTCATGAATTACTAACTTCACAAAAGTGTAAATAAAAGACAGTTTTGTTGTGAAAAAAAGGGGGAAAGAAAAAAAACATATGTATATATATATATATACACACACACAAGAGAGTTAGTTTGGATATACAGCTATTTTCTCTTAGTTCACTGAGAACAAAAGTTTGTATTAATATTGTTTAGACAGGATATCAAGTCTGCATTTTGTCCTCTGAATTACTATGAAGACAACAATATGCAATGTATTAATTATTATAAATGTGCTACTAACCTGTTGTGAAACTGTTTCATTGCTATCTTATCTTTTTCTCTCATCAAAATGAATAAAAATTTTAAAAATAAATAAGTAAAGGAATAAAAGGATTTTTATAAATTCAAGGTAATATTTCAATTCAAAACGAAATCTCAAAATAAGGGAATGGTAAGAATCAGGAATAAGTATACTCTCTAATTTCTAAATCTAAATTTATTTCTATGAAAGGCTTTAAGAGATTTATATTTTTTAAATTTGCTTTTGCCTAAATTATACTACTTTTAAGGGATCTATTTGTATGTATTTTTCTCTGATGAATGTTAAATACAAAATATGATGCTATTTCATCTGTAAATTACCAGAATTACAATCAAAAGAAGAAACGAAGTTTTGTTGATAATTTTCAGAAACTGCAAAAATGCTATAAATATATAAACCAATGTATAAGCATAAACTATATATTATTACTTAATTGTTGCATATGAATGAAATGAAACAGAATTAGGCAATATCTGTGCTTATAATGTCCTAGGCAGTAGTGCTACATAAATTGTAAAATACAAATTTACATACATATTTTTTTAAATTATAATTCTATCTTAGTAACTTTTAAGAAAAAACATTTATTGCCAACTACTCTGAGCATTCTATTAGTGTTTTCACTGCCATCTAATTTGGTATATATTAAAAAGAATTATCCTGAAAACAGTGGTTCAATTAAAGGTATACATATATTATTGTTTTATGTCAATAAGCATATTTCTGATGATTAGCCTTGCTGCATTTTATATAAAAATTACATTATTAAAATATGATAATGTTTTACTGTATATATAGTACTTGTTTTTTCCTGTATCACTGTATTTTCCTCATCTTCATTTTGGGGATAAAATGTGAATTATTTATTTACATTTCGTGGTTGCTTTAGTTAAAAATAACTTGAAGGATAAGTAAAAGTAATTGAAGAGGAATAAATTATTTCCTTTGATTAAAAAAAATCCAATAAATTTTAAATTGAGTTCCTATAATCTTTATTAAAAGATTAGAAAACCTAACCAGTGATGGTGGCACATGCCTGTCATCTCAGTACTTAGGAGACTGAGGCAGGAGGATCTCCATGAGTTGGCGACAAGCCTGGACTACAGGAGCAAGCTCAAGACCAGCCTGCGCTGCATAGAGAAATCCTATCTCAAAAAAAAGAAAAAAACAAAGCAAAACAAAAAGAAAAAAGAGAACAAAAAATCCTTCTATCACCTACATTCTTATTAAAGGAATAAGAACTTTTAAAAAATAGTGACAGTTGTATAAATAGTAAAAAATAAAGAGCACTACAAGTTAGTGGCTTTCAAACTATGAAGTTGAGGGGCTGGGGATTTGGCTCAGCGGTAGAATGCTTGCCTAGCAAGCTGGAAGCCCTGGGTTCAGGCCTTGGCACCAAAAACAAAAAATAAACCTCCCCTAAAAAACAATTCAACCAAAAAAATACAGTAAAATCAAAAAAAGACCAAAAACAAACAAGGTAACTGCAAACTATGAAGTTGACATCTAAAATTTTTACTGTATCATTAAACAAATGAAAAGAGTATGATTTTGAGAATATAGTATGTTGCCATAAAAAAACTTACTATGTCTTATTTTGTACTAAATTTAATGAATTTACATATTAAAGCAATGTATTACCATCAACCATTGAAAATAAACAAGATATACATATACATTTTTCTTATATACTTTTCCATATTCATATAAAAGAATCATCTACATATGAACACATATAAATTTTACTTCAACACCTTATATATCTTTCATCAGTGTCAGCCATCTGGATGAGTCACAGCCATTGCTTGACCAGTTTGCTCTCTATGAAAGCCTGAGAGAAATTTTTCTCTCTAGGTGACTCTCCTTAGGCACACTACACATCATCAATCACTTTCCTCTGTGGCCTCATAATCTCCTTGATCAGAAAATTTTAGATACCACTGATTTATAGGATGTCACAGCACAGGTTCTCTTCTGTCCTGAGACCTCACTGCCCTTGATGTGCTAGGACCAAAATATTGGCTATCCTTGTAGCCCCTCTATTTTTCTAATTTTTGGTCTGCAAACTTTAGTTGTTAAACATCCAGAAGAGAAGCTTAATGTTACTATCACCCTGTATCAGAGGCAGTTGAGCTTAACATCAATCTGTCTGAATATCAAATGCCTTAAAAGGCTCAAGTCAACAACTTAGAACAATTGCCAGTTCTGCTGATAACCCACTACTATTATGGTCTATTGGACTATACTGGGTTATTTGGCTGTATTCAAGTGCCTACAATCTTAAGACTGGATTCAAGAATGTAAAGGTTCTTTAAAGACCTCTCCAAATACAGCTTCTCTAACTGCAATAGAACACCCATCTCTGATAAAACAAAACAAAACA